CCTAAAGCATTCTTTTGCCCATTTTCTCATCTTTTTTCTTCATAAACACTTTCATCAAAATAAAAATATCTGCCTAAAATCTTTCCATACACCCAATACTCTTCCTATTAACTATTATCGGCATTAAAAAGTTTCCCTTAACCTAATTAAAACTTATTAAGTCATTATCCGTTTTAATAAGTACCATTTTTATATTGTATTTCCTGGTTAAAATCATCCTTTCACATTTCAGCTAAACTAGAAAATTATATTTATATTAAATATACAATTCCAATTATTAAAGAATTATAATTAATTGTATAAATTGTTTATAAATATAAATATGCAATCAAAGGCAAAATATGATGAATTCGAAATTCTATAATGTTTTGGATGCCCAGAGGTACAAAAATCATAAATAAGAATAGTATAAAGTTAAAATTGGAAAAAATGAACAAGGCCAACACGTTTTACTCAATTTTTTTGATATTTCTTTTAGAGATTAACTTTAAGAGTTATAAAATATTAGAAATTTGGAGCATCCATCTATTCTTAAAATTCTACAAATAAGAAACTAAGGAAATTATACAGTATTATTTTAAAAAGATAAAAGAAAAAAAATAAAAGAACATTAATTAGATCATGTGTTATATATGAATATCCAAAAGGAGGAGAATTATATGAATACTTATTTTAGACTGGAAACTTTAATGAAACTTAAGCTCGATGTTATTTTAAATAAATTGTTGAGGGTATTCTTAATTTATTATTTAAAGGGTTAATATAAGTTCATAAGTTCGGATTATTTCATGGAGAATTAACTACAGATACCATTTTTTTTAGTGATGCAAAATAAATTAAAATTGGAGAGCTTGGGCTGAATTGGATAAGAAAAAAAAAATATGGTAATTAATAATTAAAATAATTAGTTTATGAAACTTAAGGATGGGCTGATGTAAACAACAATCACTAATAAAGCAAGGATATTTTTGCTTTAGGAATGATTTTGTTTTCTTTATTATTTGGTAAGCCTCCCTTCTCTTCGTTATCGGTTGAGTAAAACTTACTTTTTTAATTATTTTTAATTTAACCACAGAAATTTTGGGAAAAAATGTAAAAGAATTATCCAAAAGTGGTTGTCAACGATCTATTTAAGTTTTAATTTTTTTTACTTAGATTAGAGATCTCATATCAGGAATGTTAACAGAAACTCCGAATAATAGAATGTCCTTAAGTGAAGTTTACAATCATTCATGGACTTAAATCAATTCTGAATTTACAGAAGAGATGATTAGAGAGTTCTAATCAAAACAAAAAAAAATTGAATAATTCATATTAAAAGCCAGTTTATCTCGTTAATAAAGGCAGATGACAATGAGCGATAATAAATAATAACGTTTCAATATAATATTATAATTAGTCTAAAATGGAGTTGGATCTTTTAGATCATAAGATGATGATGAGTCAAAATTTGAAGATTTATAAATTTGGAAAACGAAGATAAAACAAATATCTGTAACTATGAGTATTTATAATTTTAGATTGAGTTCTTGAAGTCTGGTGATTGTTTATTTAATTCAAACCCAAAGGAAATCATAAATTTGATAAAATAAAAATTATAGGCAAATAATTTCAATCTAAAAATTATTGAGAAATTTACTGAAAATTATGAATTTAGTGTAACCATAATTAAAGATAAATATAGATAATGTTCTCAAGTGAATTGGAAGCTGAAGTTAAAGTTGAAATATTGCAATTAGAAATAGAATAAGATATTTTATGCTTACACTTTATTAGATTAAAAGGAGAGCTGTAAAATTACATTGAAACAGTAAAAAGATTTCATTAATTATTTAATAAAATCTTAAGTGAAATATCTAAAAATTTTTAAGAAAAAGAATAAAATATTTGAGATTATTATTAATAAATATTTAAGAATTTATTAATTTGATTAAATTAAAAAATAGATTGAAAGAAATAAATTTTGTAATTTGATATTGTAATGATAATCAGGATTGTTATTTGTTTTCTCCTCTTGTTTTTTATTAACCACCTTCTTTGTTATTTCGATTATCATCTCTTCTATTTTCTCTTTATTAACCTTAATTATCATTATTATCCCTATGTATTCTATTTTCTTATCTTTATCCTCTACCATTTCTTCTGTCTCTATTATCATCTCTTCTATCATTTCTATTATCATCCCTTCTATTGTTTCTATTATCTCTTCTATCATCTCTTTTGTAATCTCTTCTATCATCTTTACTGTCATCTCTTCTATCATCTCTTCTATCATCTCTTCTGTCATCTCTTCTGTCGTCTCTTCTGTCATCTCTTCTATTACTGTAATTTTTTCTATTATCTCTTTTTCCCCAGTTACCTCCTTTAGGAGATCTTTATCTTTCAGGTCTTGTTGTTTGAATTTGATCAGATGGTAAAAGTTCCTATAATCTAAATTGAATATATTTACAAGAAATCCTGGTTCTTTTCTATCTTACTCAGTAGGTGTCTTTGTTAATTTAATTTATAAAGATGCTAAATTTCTTGTAACTTTAACAGTCACAAGTCCTTCTTCCATTGGTTCATAAACTTCATTGATTTCAACAGATTTGATTGTATTAACTTAATATAAGCCGACCACTCGTCTTCTTACAACTTCAGAGATAACGACAGCTTTTGTAATAGCATTATCAATAGCAGTAATATAGACTGTATCAAAGACAGGAGGTTGATCCTCTTTACGAGTACCTTATAATAACCACAAAGCTCTTCTAATATAGGTTGATGATTAGACACGATTTGTCACTCTGATGACATTCTCTTCAGGCTTTTAATTATCAACTATATTCCTTTAATATTTTCTTTTGGTGGCCATATTAAATATTAATACAAATCTTTTTTGATAATAGAAACAACTCATTAATAATTCAAATATAATACATTAATTCTTTTTCAAAATATTCAATTCCAATTGTTAATAATATCCTTGTCTAACTCATAATTGAGCTGTAACACATATAAACATTTAGTATTTTTATATTTTATTATTTATTTTAATGGAAATATCATTTAATGATTTGAAATTCATTTAACAAAAGGATTAACTTTGAATATGGAAGAAAGGTATGTATTGATATTCTAAAAATAGAAAAAAAATTAAAATTGCCAATTCTAAAAATTTTAGAACATTACACATTCGATGAAGTATTGTTTTGGGTTAGGGTTGAAGGTGTAGAAAAAGATTACTCCATATCACTAGGAATTTAATATAAAGGTTAGTATGAATTTCCATTGAAAAAATTCTTTTGGAGGTTATAACTTCAATTATTGAATATTCTAATAATTATCATTTGGCTGAATTGCCTAAATATAATGAAGAATATTCATAAAGAGCTGAAAATTTAAGAGAGCCATTTACAGGTTAACATGAACATATCGTATTTAAAACTGAAGAAGAAATTAATTTTGAGGACCCTTTAGAAATACCTGTAACTGCCAGCTAAAAACTTTTCAGAATTAGAAAGACTGTCATATACAGTTTAATAAATAGAATTTCAATGTGCTTCTATGCCAGTAGGATCCTATCGTTTGACACCAACACATGAACTAATTAAAAAACCTTTTACAGGGATTAAGGCTGAATTAAAAAACTATTAGCATTTTCGAACACCAACCAGAGAGGATAAATAAGATTTAATAAGTTTAATCGATTTCTATTAAAGCTCGAGATGAAGCTCTTTATAGAAAAGACTTTTTTGATTGTTTAGTAGAGGACACTCCTAGTTAATAATGGTCATTATAAGCAGATTCTACTCAAAGAAATGTGTCCCTTTTAATTTATAGAATTAGATAACTCTCAGTATCTTAATTTGGCCTGGATACATTACTTACAGTAATGACTATTCATTTGAATATGCTTATTTTGGAGATGGAATTAAAAATTTGGATTTTGAGTTTTTCTTATGATCCTTAATACAACAATATATTTGTTATTTTTGTGTTTTGTATTATTTATGATTAAATAGTCAATGTCCAAGGCATTGATTTATTGCTTCAGATGCATGTAAATTTACTTATTGAGCAACATAATCATAATATGCTCTAGATCTATGTTTATAGAAACCATATATTTATGAACCAAGAATCATTGATCCAATAAATCTTATATAATTAAATTAATATTGTTACCTAGGTCCAGTTCTTAAATATGTAAACCTTCTGAATACAAAATAAGATAATATAGCTGTTCCAAATCCTAATTTAAATCCAGCACTCTCTTCTTGTTATAAGTCCAAAAAGGCAGTTTTAATATTTTAGACATCGTGAATGTCATATTGGAAATCTTTTTCAGAACTCATAATTATTTTTATATTTATATTTAATGCTCATTATATTTCACCTCTTATAAAAGTTGTAATAATGTTTCAAATATTATTAAAAATAGTCCGTTTCAAAAATGTATTGTTTTATAAATTCCTAGTCTTCATTATCTTTTATTTTTGCTAACATTTTTTTTAGTATTAATCCTTAATTCCAAATACCATTACTAATAAAATCTGGATCTAGATCAGGTACAATTTTCTTAATGAAATCATTCTCTATAATATTTATCAAATTGATTAAAAATTCAGCACATTTTTTAGATTATTCTTCATTCTAGCTTATTTAAAAAATATGTCCTATACTTTTATACTTTTAAAGCATTTCATTAATTTAAAAATATGGATTTGTCTTCAATTTTTTTAGACGAAGATTGTTATTTTGAGACTAATATTAGTGTATTAGAGGTGTAATATTATCACCACAAGCTTCCTTTTTAATTAAGAATTCTACGATAGTTAAATTGCTTTTTTAAAGTTGTTATTTATTTTTGTAGTTTTATATCCATTTATTATATCCTTCATTAAGTCCTGCTATAAATGGCATTTAATTCCCTAGCAAATTATCAATTGTTTCAGAATTAGAATAGTACAGAGCTGGTAAAACCCATAGATAAGGATAAATTACCAAGTGAAAGAAATAGCATACAGATGTTAAAATGTAGATATTTTCACACATAAATAAAATTTATCCTTCTTTTAAGATTTCCATAAATATTGTTGTAAAATCATCAAAACTAAAAATTTACATCACTATATGAGTATGTCTAATTCTATTTTTTACCATTATTTAATTGGTTAAATTAGATTTAAAGTTTTCCTTTGTTGTTTACATTGGAGTTTATAAAGGAATCACTGGAAGTTTGTAAATAAGTTTTTCTTATTGAATTCGAATATTTTTATCCTTAATAATACTTTATAAATCAAACTCTATATAAGGTTGATCATAATTAAGTTATATATCTGAGATCAATTTTATTGCATTAGCAATTTCATCTTTCGCTTTCTAAATAAGTATATTTAAATTATATACATAAATAATGTTAACAGCATCTATGTCTTGATAGATCTTTTATCTATATTGTTACTCTAAAGATTCTTTCATTTTTTTTGTTTTCTGCCTTTATGCTTATTCCAGTTTATATTATAAATAGGAATCTGATCTTTAAAGTTTAATTAAATCTAAATTTTTTAATTAATAAACAACGTACTTGCTGCAAATATTAAAAGTTAATCAAATATCTCAGATATTGGAAAATATGTTAAAAAACAATAGTATTTTTTAAATTTCCAAAATTAATATCTATCATCATAATAACTAGTAACATAATCATCGACACTGTAGACAAAAAGAAATAACTGTTTATCCTTATTAAAGCTATTAAGCAATTCCATGTTTAGGGGAATTTATACATCAAATAAATTATCACAACCACTCAAATTAAAAAAATACAAATTTTCCTTATCCTCAATTTTTTATCTTTCATGTAGAAATCTAAATAACTAAAATTTGAAACCTTGTGATATTCTCCTCAATATAGTCATAACCATCTAATTTTTCAACTTTTATTGGTTTTTTTTCAAAAATTTCTTTTATATCTTTTTCAGGATCAGTCAAAAGATCCCTCTCTTAAGAATTTATCCCATTTTTATATTGCTTATATAAAAATTTTGGTGGTAACATTGCTACATTTTGTTTTTCTGGCATTTCTTTAAGTTCTTTATGGTTTATTCCAATAATATAAAAAGATTCGAATAGAGATTAGCATTTACAACGTTGACTGTCTCGATAATCTTCTTTGTAAGCATCCTTGTATGCAATAACAAGATCCACCATTACACCTTTTGCTTTTTAAATTATAGAATTCGATATATAACTTCGACTTTATTTATCTATCTAACATGGCATTCTTTCAATAATTCTTTTCACTTTTTTCTCAAAATTACTCTTATTATCTTAAAGTCTTTCTTCTAATTTATCTCTTTCATCCAATAATTTTTATCTCTCTTAATCATATAGTTATAAATTATTTTTATAGATTGAGATCTCTTGTTGTGCTTTGATTAGTTGTTGTTGTAACATTTGATTCTCATTCTTGAGGGTTTGTATTTCTATTTAAGGATTTTTCATTTCGATTTTAGATTAAAATTATTATTAAATATTAAAAAGAAAAAAATTATAAGCTATTTATTATAAAGCACTCTTATCAAATTAATAAAGGATGATATATTGTAGTTATTAAAAGTCCAAAAGAATTTATTCGATATTTTTAATAATCTATGATTATAACAATTATTTATAAGGATATAAATATAAAATAAATAAAGGAATTATATCTTTGTTTAGTTTGTTGAATATGAACTAAAGTATGAAATATATATAATAATTAAATCAATAAATAATGATAATATTGTTCCAATAACAAAAAATATTAATTTTTTTTCAAAATGAATGATTTTAGATAATATTTTGAATTGAAGGTGATATGTAAAAAGGATAAAAATTTCACAAAACAAGGATATTTTATTTAGATAGTTTAGAATATACATATGTTTTAATTATTTCTGATATTTAGAATTGTAAGGAAACTGATTAGAGTAATTCTTTAATATCAAACAGAAAATAAAAACATTATTATTATTGAAGAGATCAATCTCAATAAATAGCATATATCAGTTAATACAGAATACATTTAATATATTAAAATAATGATATTCCTAGTCAAGCTATCTAATATTGCCATGAAGAATATAATAAAAACTAAATTTTCACAAAAAAATTTTTGTATGAAAAAATAGAATTTTTTCCTCTGATTTAAAAATATAATTGTCTCTGCCCAATCATGAATTCATTGAAGATATAAATATAATTACTAAAATAATGTAAAAAGCTTATTTAATTTTTTAATGATAAAAGATGATTTAGTAATGTTAAATTTTAGATGTTATTGCTATTAATCTCATACAAGTTTTAATTGTTCTTTGGTTATTAGAAAAATAAAAGAAAATTCATTATGATTTTAGATATATAAATAAGATCATTAAAGATAATTAAAAAAAGTAAGTAAAAAAAGCAAGATGCATTAAGTCAGATTAAATAATATTTGATAAACAGGGCATTTATATATTTTGAAGTCTTATCAATCAATTAAAATTAACAAATCAATTGTGGTAATATTTAAGTTGATTAAAATAACAAAGCAAATTTCTGAAAAATAAAATAATTAAGAAACTAAATAGGTTGCTATCTTTTCAGAAAAATTAACAAAACCTATGATAATTAGCACATTTTAGTAAAAAAAGAAAAAATAATGAATTTAACTTAGAATTAAGAAATTGAAATTCATTATTTAATATAGATAAAATGGATGAGTTTATGAGAGTACTTATATATTTATAATATAAAATATCATAAAATTTTCTAAAATAAAAAAGAATTGATTAATATTAAATATATAATATGACTTTTTAATTACCTCATAACTTCTAAAATAGATCAGTGTAACAATTAGTATAAAATTTAATGTTTGAAGAGTATTTAGAGAGTAACAATATATAAAGGAATGTATTTATTTCATCACCTTTGAAGAGTGGTAAAAAAAAGATTTAGCTATCAAAACATAGATATAATCACTTTTTGTAATAATCACCTAATCAATTATATTCTCCTGGATTATAAAATAATAATTAGAAAGTGATTGGATTTATTGCAATGCAAAAGAAAAAGAATTCAGTTCCTATAAATGCATCAGTAAACTAATTAATTGAAAATAATGTTAGTCCTGCTAATAATGTGATTGTAAGAGTAAGTAAAAAGGTTAAGGATTACAAACCTAAAGAAATTAGAGGTTTGTCAATATCTGATCATGTACCAAGATAAAAAATTTAGTTTCCTCAAATTTAGAGATTAACTTAAGCCAAATAGTCATCATTTATTTATCCAGAATTGAATTTTAATGATGAGAACTTTGAAGGTTACAAATTAAAATCTGAAGAAATGTCATTAGAAATAGATGAATATATGAGAATGCAAAAACATAACAATAATCCTAATTTATTACCAAATATCTATTCAAGATATTAATGATATATTTAATACTTTTTATTTCTAATAAAATATTTTAACTAATTTTGTTAGTGTTTCTGAATGATAAGTTCAATTAATTGATTGTTTAAATGTAAATATATAAATTGAAATTTAATTTAAAAAATAACAATTTATTGATGTAAAGAAAAAAGAGAGGTTTGTATTTTATAGAATAGATACTTGATTATAAATAATACAATAATTAGAAATATTATCTTGTTAAATGGTAAGGATATAATAATAGAGATTGCACTTGGGAAAAACCAGAAAAGATACCAAATATAGCTTAATTTTTGCATTAATTTGAAGAGAATGTAAAATAATATGGATCAAATTTTTATCATATTGAGAATGATGAACCACCTTAATTAGAAGATTTTATTGGGGTACCAAGTCTATCAAAATAAAATTCATATGAATATCAATAAGAATAAATAAAAAGATTACAAATTTAGATAGATGAATTAAAGTCAGAAATTGATCAAATGAAGAAATAATAAGATGAAATAATTTAGTTAATAAATATTTCTTAATAGACTGAAAAATGCTCATAACCTAATTAATAACAGGATTATGAAATTATTTAAGAATCTACATCAGAATAATCTCAGAAATACACTGAAATAAAATAACAAAGTGAAGGTGGATATGAATTTGGAGATTAATTAGATAAAATTGGTCAAGCAGTTTAAATTAAAGATAAAGGTGATAAGATGTATTATATATTATGGTAAAAAAGACCTAATGGTAATTATGATTTTAATTAAGTTTAGGGATTATTCCAAAAAATAGATGGGTCAATAGTGAATATCTTATGAAACATGATATAAAGGCATTGTGTTAATATCTTCAAAAAAAATTATAATGAATTTAGTATAAATATTTCATTTAGTTATATATTAATATGTATAAGTAAAGCTAGAAAATACAATCAAATGTATAAAGATTGAACTAAATACATAGAAATTATGTGGCTGGTGATTACTATTAAAATTATAAAAATAATTAGAATATTGAGGATCCTTTAAATGCCTAAAAAATGATTGAATAATATAAGTATAAAAAGAACGAAAAGAAATAACTAGTAACAAAGAGAATAAAAATGGTGGACCCTTTTTCTAATAAATATTAGCGTGATATGTAAATTTAAAGAATGAAAATTAGAAATTCATTTGCATATGTTTATGAGGCAGGAGGAATACCATGTAAGATTAATTATAATGCTCATGGAAACATGAAAATATAATGGATCCCAGATGTTAATATAATGACATTACCATATGATCCAGTATTGGTTACATGTTTTAATGGATTATTAGAAGATGTTCATCCTTATTTAGCAATTGCTACTATGGCAATTTAATACATGTTATCAAATGAAGTAAATATTTAATTAGAATTAAGAATGCCTAAGAAAAAATAATATCACTTCTACCTAAATTAGTGTTACCATTAAGAAATGCATTAAGTTCTAAAAGTGATAAAGTATTTAGTTCAGCATTGACAGTTTTGATGTAATCTCTCCTCTTTAATTGAGTTCTTTGTCTAATATAGTTGGATCTCATTTGGATAAATATTTAAAATTATTTATTGTTCCAATTTGGTAGAGATAAAATCATTCTGCTTTTGGTGAACAAATTAGAATAGCTTTTGTTACTTTGGAAGATAATGGAGTATTTTAACTAATTTAATTAGGGTTCTGAAGTTTATTAAATTATTAAACAAAAGATTCCAACCTACTCAAATTTTTGAGAATCATATTTATTATTATTATTTATTTAAATTATCTATTAATTATATAGAAAAAGATATTAAATAGTTAAATAATATGTGATCATCATTTTGGCTATACTAAGTCCTGATTCTAAACTTAAGTTGTTTATAGCAAGATTACTATTAACGTTGAGGGCCGTTTAGAAAGTCCATGTGTTGATAATCATTTTTTTAAGTGAATTTATTTAGATTTTAGATTGTAAGTGATTATATGGCCAATAGTTAATTTTAGATTAAACAATATCTTTCAAATTATTAATATAAATTTATTGTTAATCAATATATAATTATTTAACACTTTCTTAAAATAAATAAGCATAAACGATTTATATATTAATTTAAAATGTTGATTATTACATTTTTAATAATTTCTATATGTCTTGTGAGTGGAATAATGATGTTGTGTCAAGTTTTACTTATTAAAATGGTCTTAGGTTTGATAAACAATATAATTTATTGATTCATTTTCAAACATTCCTTAAGTGTTTATTACTTATGAAATGATATTGATTTAAATTGGATATAAAATTACAATATTGCAAGTTTCAATTTTAGTATTACAGATATTACTTTAACAAGTTAGTATATAATAACTAATCTTAGACTTTGCAATCAATCTATATTGTTAATATGAGAGAAATAATAGATTCAGAGTTAGGTGGTTTACTTTTCATGATTAATGAATATAAGTTATCAGTTAGTTTAATTTGATTCCACCTCAGAATCTTAGTTATTAATATGCTAATGCTCATTGTGATAAATACTTCGCAACAATTACAAGTTTTAGTGCCACAGGACCAATAGATATTTAATTATAAGTAACACTTAGTTTAATATAATCGATTTATTTCACACCTACCAATATCGTTTCTGTTTATATTCCTTATGTTTAAGGAAAATCAGAAATGTGAAATCTATTGGATTTTAATTGATTTTGGGAATTGATGAAGTATTTGCACAACCTTAAACTATTTTCTCAAATTAAAACTATGATTCTTAAGTATATGATTCAAATCAACCAGATCGAGTAGAAGATTTACCTCGTGCAATGTTCTCAATAGAATTTACTGCTGATTCAGATGTTTATACATCGAAGTAAATATTCATTAATTTGACATTGCATAATTTTTTTGTATTTTATCAAGAGAGTTATTAAAATGAAATCTTTATTTAATCTTTTTATTGAAATTGTATATAAAATATTTCTTGTATTATGATTAACATTTTTTTAAAATATATAAAAAACAAAACTTTTTCTTAAGGTTTTAGTTTTTAATTAAATAAGGGTTATAAATAGTTAAATAAGATGTAATTATCGTTGTCGGCCATACTAAGCCTAAAGCACCGGATCCCATTCGAACTCCGAAGTTAAGCGGCTTAAGGCGAGGTTAGTACTAAGGTGGGGGACCGCTTGGGAAGTCCTCGTGTTGACAACCCTTTTTTTAATATATTATAAATTATAAATTATATATATATATATTTATTATATTATATTATTTTAAATAGATATTAATCAATCAGTTTAAACTTAAAATTTTAATAATAAATAATCATTTTAATAAATAGAGAATCTATTATTATATTTTTGTATTATCTATTCAAAGTATTATTAACTTCTAGGTAAATCTTAAATTCTGATAAGAATATCATTTTCATCTATAGTTGATAAGAGATCATACTCATAATCATCAAGATCGTTTTAATTCCATAATGAAAATCTAGAATAGTTCATCATAATATCATCAATTAATTTTTATTCATCAGTGCGATTATCATAGGGTAAACAATGCTCTAAAATTAATTAGAGATCATCTTAATCAGCTTTGAAATTATGTTAATAATCCTTTATTTTTGTAAAAATACAAATTTATGATGCATAACCATTCGTAATTTCTCCAGATTTATGTTGACCCACTCCTTCATAGATTGTTGAATAATTATATTTTAATGCAATAGCTTATGTCCATTATTAAAATTCTTGTTAAGAAAACTCAAATTTATGATCAGGATGTCTTAAAACAAATTATGGATTAAGCTATTTAAAATAAACATTAAAATCTGAATTAGGAGTAGTTATTATAATTCTGTTTGGATTTAAGTAACCAAAAACATTTTCACATATATCATCAAGTTATTCCATTTATAAATGTTCTACTACCTCTATAAGTGTGATTACCTAAAAATTATATTAAAAAAAATACTTCAAAATTCATTTATTTAAGTTTATCGTATTTTTTTAAAGCATCTCCATGAAATAGTTTTATCCAACATTCTATTTTTCTATTTGATTTTAAACAATCTTAGATTTGATCATAAACCAAGTTATCACTTTACTTAATATTATAAATAACCTAGCTTTTTTAAGAACTTCTAGATCTATATCTAAACCAACAATTAAATTGAAATCTAAGGAATGTGCTAATCTTTAAATAAATTTAGCATCATTGCATCCAATATCTAATGTTCTCTCATTTTCTATATATTTGTCTAAATGTTAATGTCTTCTTTCCCAAAGTCTCATTCCCATGTTATCATAAAAAATATCATTTTCGTATGCTTTTATTTCCATTTTATTAATTAATACTATAAAAAGTTTATAAAATATATTAATAAAAAAATTATTGAGATGAATTAGAATATTACTCTATTAATATCTTGTTAAGAAAAAGGGAAAATCTATAACATTGAAATAGATGCAGATTCTTTAGTAGAAGAATTAATTGCAGAATTTACAGAATTATTAAATGCATCAAATCAATCAGTTTCTTTTCTTTACCATCAGAGAAGATTGGAACCAAAATAATCATTTAGATCATAAGGAGTAGTAAAGGGATCACAATTAGAATTAATTTTAAAACATCATGGAGGATATATTATATTTAATTAGAATGAATGATTTCAATCTTTGTATATTATTATTAGATTAAATTAAAAATATTCGAAAACGAAAACATACAATTCAATCAAATAGATCAAAAGGTACAAAGATACCATAGTAGGCTGCCATTGTTCCACTTAGTACCTAATCCTTATTTAAATTAAACTAATTATTTATATAAAATATATACTCTTCCAGATTAAATTTATTTTAAAACATTCATTAATAAAAATGTGTATGGTAGTAAGATCACTAAACTAATTAGGGTTGGTACATAAATAATAGCAAAAGGTAAAACACATAGAAATTCACAGATAATAACCTCTATATATTCACATAATATAATTACTATAAAATTTGAATTCTTTAGTCTCTACTAATATATATATTAATAAAATTATGGTAACAATAAAATTACCAAATAATGGAGTGATTATGAATACAGCAACAATAAATGTCACTAAAATAATTAACAAATTAATTACTTGGAAATTCACTACTAGTCTCACTTGTAAAGGAAGCAAAAATAAAAAAAAATGTTAGTGTGTATGCAATTATTGATCCAAAATAACATAAAGGTGATGATACAACCTACTTAATTTATAAATAATAGTATACATCTCTACATTTCTCCATTTAGCCTAATTTTGTTAGAAACATCAAGACACATATGCAAACTGTAATATAATAAGGATACACATCTTTATGTTTAAATAGTCCACTACCAAAAATAATCATCAATATAAAAAATATTAAAGTAAATAGAAATGTCCATAAAATAAACATTCCTAAAATACTTCCTAAAAAGAATTTTTAGATTAAGAAATCTGAATCTTTAATTAAAAGTGAATTAGATGGTTATGGCGGTTGATCTAAATTGTAATATTCTTGTTGATTATTAATTTATTATGGATATGGGAGCATAACTTATTGATATTATTATAAATTTTGATTCTGTTGCGTCAAAACTGGTATATATTTAATTTCTTATTCCTTATTTATAAATAATTATTATTAGAGATTATTATTATTTGCCTATTAGTTTGAAGACTCAATATCAAATTATGGATATTTAACTTATTGCATAATTTATTATTAATGTAAATTAAATTTTTATTACAATTTTTGAGATTAATTAACACAATACAGAATACTTTCTATAGGATTATTAACAATAATAAGTTATTTGATTAAAAGTTAAATATAATATTTGATTATAAATTGGAGATATAATAAACATTATTATAATACTCATGCTTTACCTTGAGTGAATATTTTAACAAATTCTTCAAAGCTAAACCTCTACATATTAGTTTCTTTAATAAATAAAAATGTATCATATCCACATGATTATCCCTCCATCATTAAGTATGGATAAGCTAAGAGTAAGTTAGCTTTGGATATCAACAATTTGCTTGGTTGAGATTCACGATTTAATAGACATTTAAAGATTGTGAGGAAATTAATTGTTTATCTTCTAGTTATTTTATAGTCCATTTAAATTTTATCTATATTTACATTTTTCATAAAATATCTATCATTTAAATTAGTTTTTAATTGGAAGGGACTGTTTACTTATGAAATTTCAATATTTTAAGTTGAGGGTATGAATAGATTCTAGCATTCTACTTGTTCTTAAATTTATTATTGAAGATCTTCAGGATTTGTTATATTTTCTTATAGTATTTATTATTCAATTGATTATCTAGTTCTAGTTTTCAGAGTTAATCTAATTAATTTATTAGATTTCTATGAATAATTTGATTTGCTGTTCATTTCTTTATTTAATTGTTCATATATTTATACTTTGGTTTTCTATTTTTCTGTATCTAACATTGAAAATGCTGTATCAATTTCATGATCATCTAAATCAATTTTTGGTTATGAACATTGTATATAAGGTAATTTATTAATTTATAAAGCGAAATATTTCTTTACTTTGCTATTGTTACTAAAAAAGTAATCGAAAATTTGAGAAGAATTTGAAAGTTTTGAGATTTCACTATAAATTGATTCGAGTAAGTTTAATTAAAAGGAACCATGAAATTAATTATAATGAGCTATCATATTCCAGAAATCAAAGTTATTATTTATATAAAATACTTTCTAATTTGGCAAATGGAAATTTTTAATCTAGAAGCCATCAAGAGTCCAAATTTTAGGAATTGATTTTAAATTCAAAAGAGTCTTAAGATGAATACTTTATTCAATAAAATCAGAGATAAGTTCACTTTCATTTTCAATTTTTTAATACAGTGGAATGTAATACTTAAATACTTTGAAATTGTTAATAATGAAAATTTCTTAAAAACCTTGTTTTTTATTAATACCTTTATCAATAATTTTATGTTTAACATATTTAATCAATCTTTCTGATTTCCATTGGTCCTAATATGATAGTTTATGAAAATAATTTTATTTATTAGTTTCAGTTATAAGTCTTCTTGGAGTATGAAAAATAGTTGGAGAGTTACCAATACTATTTTATTCAACTTGTAATGAGGTAGCAATTTTCAAACGAGGAACACTATTAAATCTTTTATTCATTAATTAAATAAAAATATTGAATAAATTTAGTATTTCTTTGATTTAGTTTTGTAATAAATATATTTTAAATGAAGATTAAGATAAGAAAATGAGATAGTATTAAAAAAGGAACTGAGTGTAAATGATAGAATGAAATTAAAAAATAAAGATGAAGAAATTAAATAATATAATTTAGAGTTGAAATGAGATGATTAAATGATTTGATTGATTGATGAAAGTAATGATATGTTAATATAAAATCAATTATTTTATTATTAATCTTATTATTAAAGAATAGATTTTCTTTTAGAATTATCTTCAACGATTTATTTAACTTGACTCTTTTTTCTCATTTGATCTCTTTTAACAAATTCATCAACTTTACGAAATTATACCCAAGCTTTACCTTCCATTAAATTATCTAACTAATTGTATAAGAAGATTAAAAATAATTCTTCAAAGATTTCTTTATCAGAATATCCACTTTTTTTAACAATTTCCCAAAAAGCCATCCATTCATCTTCAGTAATTTAACCACTTTTATCAAAATCTACAGCATTAAATAATGCATGAGTATTGACTTTAGCAAAATTAGTTTTCCAAAATTTTTGAGTTTCATCTTTATCAATAGAACCAGAATTATTAACATCAATTTTTTGAAATATTTCTAATGCTTTTTATCGTAATTAAGGTGATAACCCTTATGATTATTTATGAGCTCCACAACCCATTATAATAATAATAATAATAAAATTAAATTAAATTAATAAATTAAGGAATGGAATTTCTTGCAATAATTACATTACTATTTTTAGTATTAGGTGCATCACTATATTTATTAGTGTGTGTTGATCCAAATTCACCAGGATTGTTAGGGAAAATGAATAGATTAGTATTTAATACAATACCAGTAATATTCAAGTAAGTATATGTAATAATGAATAGAAAAATATTAGGAGAACGTATATTTAAAATATTCTAAGGAGCAATAGATTATTTCTTTTATTCAAATCATCCATTAGTATAAATATTCTATGTGATTGTTGCTGTGGGTGGATATTTAGTTTATGTATATTTTGGATTTTTGGAGTTATTTGATGATAATTTATATGTGTCTCATTTAGATACAGCAATAGGATCTACAATGGCATTATTTTGTTTTTATTCATTTTTCTAAGCTTGTCGTTATAAACCAGGAATAATAACTAAGGAGAATAACAAAGTATATTAGAATGAATTTAAAGAATATTATGATAATGTTGTTTATTTAAAAGATAATTAATGCAAAACATGTAATATAATCAAACCAGCAAGAAGTAAACATTGTAGAGTATGCAATGTATGTGTAAGTAGATTTGATCATCATTGTGTATGGATTAGATAATGTGTTGGATAGAAGAATTATAAATACTTTGTTAAATTTATTATAACTCATGCTATATTATGCGATTATGGTGCATATTTAGGATTTCGTTGTATTTGGGGAATTATTGTATAAGAGAGACTATTATAGGCTTAATTTAGGTTAATTATATTTGATTATTTATTTATAGAGATCCAGTTACTAAATAGAGATTGTAAGCTACTTGGGGAATCATTATTAAGTATTTATTCTACAAAAATACTATGTATATTTTTATTGTCATTCTTTGTGTTGTTATGGGTATTGCATTAACATGTTTTGCACTTTATCATCTCTATATGATAGGATAAGATACTACAACAAATGAGAGAATGAAAAGAAGTGATTTTTTGAATTTCTTTGATGAAGAAACAGAACGTTTAGAAAAATAACTTAAAAAGGCTGAGAATGAAGAAGAAATCAAAGAAGTGTCATCTAAATTGGAATAAGTTAAATCTTGTTAAAAGAGAATCATTCCTATCAAAAATATTGGAATTTGGAATGGATTAAAAAGAGTGTTTAGTGAACCAGATGAGTTAGGATAGAAATTTTAAAATAAAAAAAAATAATGAATTAATCATATATGTGTTCTAAACATTCAAATTAACCATTCTCTCATGTTCTAATCAATCATAAACAATAAGGATTGTGTTGTTAATAATGCATTTATTAAGATAATCTACCTACATAATTACTTATCATCTTACCATAATTTCTTACACTTGTTAAGTAGGAGATTAATAATAAAATTAATGATATACATGAAGAAAAAAAAATTAGTACTCAATATGAAAAATTACATATGGATGTTCTTAAAAATATATAACAAACTTTCAAACAAATTCAAAATTTTGTATTTCAATAATCATATTAATAAATCAAATTGAATGAAGAGGTTTATCAAGCATAAACATTAATTGAATAAATTGAATCGCGTCAAATTACTAATCGTTAAGCTTAAGATAATATTATTTTATTATTGGAGAAATCATTAGATTTCAATGGTAAATAATTTTAATTAAAAAGCAATCGAGGTAAATAATTCAAAGAACAATTAACATAAGTGATACTCTATTATAATCAATTGTAAGTAATGCAATCAATCTTATAATTACAAAATAACATAGAATAAATATTTAAGAGATAATCATAACAAAAAGAATTTTCAAATTTTAATAATCAAAATTACAATCCTTAAATAATTTAATAAACGATACAGCCTTAGAATTAAAAGTATGAATATACTAATCATTAACCTAATTAGCTATCTTAAAACTAATTAATTTAAACAAGTCAAATTAATAATAGTAATTAAACTATATCTCCATAGAACAAATCAAATGAATTATCAAGATAAAATACTTAATCTAAGAATGCTGCTTAAACTTCAAGAAGTCATTCTATAGAAACAAAATAAGTACAATATTTGGATTAAAGTTAAAATTATAAAACTGATAGATCGTTAACACCATAATCAATGAAAACCGATTAATCAAATAAACCATATTAATTTTAATCAGGATTACTTTTTGGTGATTAATTAAAGAGAACAATAAGTGATAAATAATAAGAATAAATTAGATAATAATAAAATACAAGTTCTTCATTAATCAGTAGATCAAATTTATTTCCGAAAACAGAAAAATTATATTCAATTAAAGCACATGATAAAAGAATATCTTAAGTATAAGTGGGCTAACTTTGTATATTTACAAGTTCTTATGATAAATTGATAAGAGTTTGGGATAAAGGGAATGGAAAGATGATAGCAACTTTAGAAGGACATACAAGAGAGATAGTTAATATAAAATTTAAATTTGAAACATTAGCTTCATGTGGTTAAGATAAAGTGATTAGAATTTGGAAACATCATCCAAGATGGTAATTGATTGGTAATTTAAAAGGACATTAAGCAACTATTACTAGTTTAGATTTCTTAAATCCAAAATAATTATTATCAGGAAGTGAAGATTAAAGTATTAAGATATGGGATTTAGATAAAATGTTGGAAATATACTCTTTAAAATTTGACTTTGGTATTTATTCTTTGGTTATTTATAATGATAAACTCTTTGTTGGAGGTGATGGTATTTTTATTGTTCATTAATGCCCATAATTGTAATAAACAAATTTTATTTAATTACATGAATCACCTATTTTAATCATATTATAAACTAAATTGTATATAATAACAATTGATAAAGAAGGAATAATAAAATTATTGAATTCTTAATCTTATTAAATAATTAAAGAACTTAGAGATGATTATGAAATAAGTAGTGCTTTATATATTTAACAATTTAATTTTCTAGTAATAGGATTAAGTACTAAAAATGGAGAAGGCAAAATCTGTTTTTGGTCTTTAGATACTCTTCGTAAAATTAAAGAAATCTATGATAATGGATCAGGAGTAGGAGGATTGGCATGGGAATCTCCATTTTTATGGACAGGACATGATAATAAAAGATTAGAGAATATTAAATTTTTATAGTCATAATCATGAAACATTGTCATTCATTATTTAATCTTATTTATTATTTATAAATTAAAGTATTTGGTTTAATTTTATGAATTCTTATTTATAATTAATAATAATTAATTTATGGGTTGTTCTGTTGCAATAGTTAAAAATACTCCAATTGATTCAAACTCATCTTTATCATTCGATGATCTTTAAGAAAGTGAAATTTCTTTAGATTAAATTCATGAAGAAATAGCATTTATCAAAATTAATGTAGAAAAACAAAAATTGATTTATCCTGAAGATAATATAACTGAAGTACTTAACAATTCTTTCGGAACAAGTAATTTTAGTTATTTTCCAAATTCCAAAAAATCATGTTTCAAATAATAAGGCTATTTAAGTTATCCTAAAAAAGTTCATTTTATTTAAGCCTAAAAATAATTAACAAACAGAAATGCATGGATTAATATGAATAGAAAGAAGAAAAGTCATAAGAAAAAACGTTTAAGCAGATCTAAAGATGTCTAAAAACATATAAATTTAGATGATATTTTTTGAACTGTTATCACTGACTTATATTTCTTATTTAGTATATAGATATATTTCATAACAATTAGTACAGTTTATCAATTTAAACTTCGAATGAGTTATCTTCATTTAACAATGAGGGTAATACATGATTTTTTTATTCTTAATCTATTAAATTAGTCACTGTTATGACTTCTATTCTTTCTTAATCAATTTTTAATATTTCTACATAGGAAACCTTTCTACCTAATTTTATCGTTAATTATATATTTACATAAAAGTTCATTTTTCTTTATATACATCATGTAATCTTTCAAATTCTCTTTTAAAAACTCTACAGTGAAACATACTTTATTTTCATTTAATTCCTTTACAGAAAACTTACTTAGAAAAACAAAAGTTTGGTATGAAGATTTAATACTCCATATTGATGATTCTAATATAATAAAATTATTATCATCTATTTTATTTATTATTTCAAATTTCTTAAATGAATTTCTCCATTATTTTTGTTCAGTAAATAATTTATATATTTTTTGAATTTAATTGCATTTTAGAATATAAGAATTCTTTATCATCTAACCTTACAAATGAAGTAAACTGCAATTTCTATACTCTAATTCAAATAGACATTTACATTACATTTCACTAATTTCCACTCATAGTTTAGATTCAAAATCTTAATCAAAAATTCTGGAGTATTATCATCTTCCAATAGAATCATATCTTTTGATGAAAACTTTCTTATTGTTTCCTATGTAGTTGCTGGAGTAATATTTTCATCTGAAGAATCCAAAGTTTTTGTACTATCTAATTTTTATCTTTAGGATTTGAAATTTTAATAAATTCTTAATACTTCTTCATCTTCAATTAAAAATTTAACTATTCTTTAATCTAATAAAGGATTGCCTTCTAAATATCTATGTAGTAATATTAACGCATTTTTATAACATTTATTTTATTAGTTATCTTTGATGTGATTTTACAATTTCATTTGCTTTATTTATTTCATATTTAATTCGCAAAAAGCTTTTAAAGAGACTTCAGCAACTTCAATTAGAAATAGATTAAATTACATGGATTATATTCGAATTCTAACAGTTTACTTAAAAAAGAAAGTACACAATTACATTAGATATGAGAATCGGAATCATTTTATATCATTTAGGTTAAACCCATGATTTCTTTATCCTTATCTCCTATAAATAAGTATTAGATAATATTGAATGATAAATATTATAGTTTTCCAAATAAAAAATTTTCAAGTTAACTAGTATAATAGAATTTTAATAGCATACTTTATAATTTTTACTCTATCCTCCTTATGACTATTGAGTTTATGTAAATAACAGATGACTGACTTTTCAATATCATTTGATGGCTAATGTTTCTATAATTCAGGATCGAGTAAAGAATCTAAATTAAATTAATCGCTGCTTAATCCATGCAATTTAATATTATCAAATCCTCTCCTTAGAAATTGTTCTTAGATTTCAATAAACTTTAAAAATTCTATTGGTCTCTATTATTCTAGACTAGATAAGATAGTTTATAAGAATTCTTATATTTTAGCTATTTATTTACTTTGTAGTGATTTTCTTCTCTCTTGAACAACCTCACTTTTATTAGATTTAAACAATTTTTTCTATGGAAACTCATAAAATTCGAAATTTGGTTTTAACTAAAAATATAAATTTGATACTTATTCATATAGTTAAAGAAATTACTTGTACCTTCGTTGAATTTAGTAGTCAAAGTAGTCTGTGGTGATTTTTATAACATAGTGAACTATATGTTTTTTATGAAGAGAGAAGTTGTCCTTTTCCTTAGACAAGGAAACTATTTCTATGTTCTTAATTACTTGATGAGTAAAAATCAACTGATATACACTCTTTCCAATTTTATAATAATATTTTTTACCTCATCCTAAAGTGGGCTAGTAAGGGAATGAACCCTTTTTAATTAAAGAGGAGATGCTTTTTACTATGAATATTGATCTTGAAAAGAATATTATCGTTTAGGAAGCATAATAATAAGTTTAGAATTACAATTAATATCTAATAATATTCAATCTGATTGGTATTATATATACTACAATTAATTTATTATAATATGCAATTAAATTAGTGCATATTATTATTAAAAAAATACTCATTTATCTTGTTCTTAATCTATCTAACTTAAATATATCAGATATTTTGACATCATTTAATTCTGTAATAGTAATAACGTTAATAAATAATAATTTTCAATAAGAATATGTCATGTTGCATTTCAATATATTTTAAAAGTAAATTGATGTTTTTTGCCTTATAAGATTTACTTAATTATTTTAAGTTTAATTCGTCATCTCATAATATTAAAATAAAATTCAATCTTGAAATTATATGTAATATTTAAAAAATAAAATGCTAACAAATGAGTTAAGTAGTATGTCAAATCAGAATTAAGTAAAGGATAATAAAGAGGTTTGTTTTTAATTTAATTATTTTTTAAAGTAAGCTTATTAATGGACCAAGAATGAAGAAGAACAACTTAAACAATTGTTCAATATTCATTAAGGTAATTGGAAATCTATAAGCTCTTAATTAAATGGGCCAAATCCATTAGAATGTATGAAGAAATGGTAAAGACTACATCCAGATTAAGTAATTTTGTAATCTTAATTTAAGACTCTTTAAAGGTAATAGTGGTCTTAAGAAGAAGATGATTAATTAATGTAGCTAGTTTAAAAGTATGGAAAAAAATGGAGTAAGATATGCACAGTGATGGATTGGAGAACTGGAAAATAAGTTAGAGAGAGGTATCTAAATCAATTGTAAGTTCATATTAATAATTAATAATGGACAATATAAGAAGACAAGATGATTATCAAATTATATAAAAAGTATGGAACTAAATGGAGTTATATATCTAGTTTCCTTAATGGACGACCTGTATATATTGTTATTTATAATATTTACATAGGAAAATATGGTTAAAAATCGATTCTATGCCAATTTGAAAAAGAGATTCTAATCTGATTTAGAAAAATATGAAGATGAATAATATCAAGACTCATCAGATTCTTTTAATGTAACTAAATATAAAAAGAAAAAAAAAATTAAGACTTAGAGATTTATTAGTGATTCTATTTCAATCAAAAAATGTTAACTTTTGAATGTAAAATCTGAAATTTTCAAAAGAATCACAAGATCAAAAAATAAAGATCATAAATAAATTTAAACTAAAGAAGAAAATATTTAGGAACCTATTTAATGCTAGAATCCTCTTTAAGAATCTCCTTAAGAATCTATTGAAAAAGAAAAAGTAATTAATTAATTTATTTCACACCAATTATTAGGTGTAAAAGAAGAAATGTTATATAATCAAAATACATAGAATTAATATATGTTATTTGAATATTAATAAAATTTTTAAACTCCATAATTACTTGATTAGGGAAGATTACAATTTTATTTTAATTAATAATAATATGCATAATGTTATCCTAAACAAAATAACATTCAATAAAATTTATAATTGTGTTAGAAATGTATTTAATGTGAGAATATAATTGACAAAAATAAATTGTATTATTTTTAAGATATTAATCAATTATTCTAATTGTTTTAATATCATTTGTTTATGTAAAATCAACCCATATTAAAAAGTGAAGTTGATTTGTCATAAATTGGAAATCAATAGCCATAGCAATATACAAATTTGATATTGCAGTGACATTTCATCATTGGAACTAATGGACCAATGAAAATGATAAACATAATATAGTCAATTACAAAATATCAAAATCTATTTATTTTAATCTATTATTTCTAAATTTTTATTTCTTTGAATATAAAATTCAAATTATCTTCATCTAATCAATCTAAGTAAAATCATTTGAAAATATTAAAACTTTATAAACATCCCTTAAATTTATTAAAAAATATTGACCTGTTTCTTAGATGTGTAATAATTTTTAAGATTCAAAAAGAAAATATGTATAATTTCATTAATAAATATTGAAAAATATACTTATTCTCTTAGAATTAGATAGACTATATTGTGGTTTTTAATTTTCAGCTTTAAAATGGACAACATTTTCAGAAAATTATTATTATTTCTTACACGAAATTTATTAAATTTTGTTTGATTCATGATCTTAATTGTGATAAAATGATAATCAATTAAGTAATCAATGAAAGTTTAGTTTATAAAAAATGATATAAATAGAACTCATATCAAGTTTGAGTTGATGTTGAATAAACTGTTTTAGAATTAACATACTCACCAGCAATTTTGGTGATTATTTGAAAATTTACAATTTCATTAGTAACAATTCTGTACAAACATCTATTTTTTGAATCGATGCTTTATTTATTATTGATTATATTCTTTCTATAGTATTGAAAAATCGATTTTGCTGCTGCATATTTGATATTTAAGAAATTTGCAGCCTAAATATGTGATTAATATATACTTTCTTTATTTTGAAACCTTTTAAACAAATTAAATGAATAAGAGTTTGTCTGATGTGTTAAGAAAGTTTGTAATAAGATGATTTATGTCTTTTTGAATCTTATTTCATAAAATATATATATTTTGTTTAATATCTTTTTAAGAGTATATATGTAACATGTAAATAAATAAAAACAATTGAAATTCATAAAATGAAATTGCAATAATATTTTTCAACAATTGAAATATTTTTTATTTATTCAAAAAAGAAAAAGTGAAATAATTTTGATTAATAAAATTTCTTATATTAATGAAATAAAAGCAAAGGCCACCGTAATTGGATCCAATAAAACGTGTAAAGGAAACAGATCAAAAATATCCAGGAAGCCCATCGTCTGTTTTTAATTCTATTCTTTAACCTCTTTCATCAGAATTTAAACGTAATAAAAATAAGAAAGGAACGTTGATGACAAAAAAGTTGGAATATGATATAAAGGAAGCTTTAAAATAAACAGATTATGATGAAAGTTAATATAAAATAATAAAAAATAGGGAATATTTTGCATAGAGCTTGTCTTGATTAATAAATAAAATAAATAAAAGACATAATTGAGGAAATAATAGAAAAGAAAGATGATGATGCATTTAAAGAATGTTTAATAAAAGAAGATAAATTTCATTGTTAACCTTTATTGTTATGTTGTATAAAGCCAAAAACAGTAGAATCTGATAAAATGAGAATGCAATGCATATAATTTTTATTAAATCCTTGTAAAGAGAAACCTCATATAAGAGCAGATGTAAATTGTAATAATCCAAGAACATTATGGACATGTTTGCATTGGGCTGCTTATTATGGGGATAAAGAAAGTGTGGAGGTTTTACTTGAAAACAATATTCATGTTTTTTTACCAGATTATAAAGGTTAATATGCAGTAGATTTAGCAGGTAAAAATAAATACGAAGAAGTTGTAACTTTAATAATAATGCGAAGTATTAAAATATTAGAATGTATAAAATATGGAGGTTCATAAAAATATTAAGAATATTATAGTAGTCTAAATGAGGATCATAAAAGACATTTAACTAATCCATTATTTTTATGTAAGTTAATCTATTGGTCAGCATTGTATGAAGTTGATAGTAAAAACTCAACATTATTATAATTCAAAAAAGCTTATTCTTTTTTTCCATTGTAATTTTTTATTTTATTTATTTTATAGTAAATCTTTAAAAATGAAAACAGCCTTACATGCAGCATGTTAAAGTCATAAGGGAAATGAAGAATTTTTAAATGAAGCTTTTCGGATTTTTGAAGAGACTTTATTTGGATTCTACAATGAGGATTTAAATAAGATTATTCCATAAAAGAAACCTACACTTTAAGCTAATAGTGTATTTGTATTTAATTAGGATGATTTAAATAAATATAGAGATGAATTTAAATAAGAAGTATTATAATTAGCAGAATGGGAAAAGGAAATGTTAAATAAAATTAAAATAATTAAGAATTATGTATAATAAAAATAAAGAGAGAAACATTTTAATGAATTTTATGCAATATATGTAAATTAATAAGATACATATGGTAATTCACCTTTACATGTTGCATCTATAAAGGCATTTTAAAAAGGAATTAATATTTTGATGGAAAAACAAGCCAATATGGAATTGGAGAATAATGAAGTGTTTAAAGCAAGAGAATTAACATAAGATGAAAAGGTTTTAGAATTGTACAAGGAGAAATTATAAAGCATAACTAATGAAACAATTTTAAATGAACTCAATCAGACAATAATATAATAATTAATGGGAATATTTAAGAAAGATGCTTATGATGATTAATTACGTTTGAGAAATGCTTAAGGACCATGTATCAAAATTATATCTATTTTATAGTGTCTAAAAATATTGATTCTCAATATTACAAATTAATTACAGAAATTAATCAATATTCATAGAATTTATTTGTACCAGATTTAATTATTCGTGCAAGTATTAAACCAGAGAATTTAAATTAAGATACATTAGAAACAGCACCATCATTTTTTGAATTAAAAGATTAAGATTGTGCTGAATTAATTAGATTAAATTTTTATATCTCTTTATTATTGAATGCTGATTTTGAAGTTTATTTAATGAAATCACAATTTCAATAAGGATTCTATTATATAATGTTATAACATAATGAAAAGAATTTAGAAGAATAAGCTGATGGAATGAATTTATAAATGAAATTGATGGATTCATATGATTTGGAGGAATTTGAAAAAGATTTTTAAAATTTATATGAGCCTTTTCGTTCCAGATAGAAATAATAAATAATTGAAAAACATTTAACTTCAATAAAAGATTTAAATGAATAGATAAATTCTGGTATTATAGAGACATTTTATAGAATGCATAAAACAGGAGGTATCAATAAAATAAAAGAAAGATGGTTAGTAAATAATAAATGGTATCTTCCTACACCAATTAATTAGATTTCAGAATATTTAATGGAAGGAGAGAATTAGAATTTTAGTTCAATTACTATTTTAAGATTATATTTTGGTGAAAAGATTTCATTTTATTTTGCCTGGAAATCATATATTACATGTGCATTGATGATATTAGCAGTTCCTGGAGCAGCAATATAAATATATATATTGGTAACAGGGGATTATTTTCCATCTATTCTACCATTTTGGGTTTGTTATGTATGTTTATGGTCAACATTACAAGTTGAATTTTGGAAGAGAAAGACATCTGAAATAACAACAAGATGGGGATGTTTAGATTTATTAGATTCTAAAGATAAAGGAGAAGTACGTAGAGGATTTTAAGGTTATGAAGAAATCTATCAAGTAACAGGAGAGTTAACCAAACATTAAAAAAAAACAGAAACATTTCTTAAAGTAGTTTTATCAGTTTTAGTTGTCTTGATCTTTTTGACTCTTTGTGTCTTGATATTTGTAGGTGTTAATGAAATGATTAAAAAATTTGAAGGTTAAATTATTATTACTACTGGATTAAACATAATTTAAGGAGTCGGTATTTTTATACTCAACTTGGTTTATAATCAAATTGTCTTATTTTTTGCATAATACGAAAATCATAAATACCTTGAAGATTATGAACAATCCATCATTTATAAAAATTCAGCATTCACTTTGCTTAATTCTTATTTGTGTATCTTCTATGCTGCTTTTGTTAATGATAAAAGTTTTTTAGATTTATTCATTTAATTAGTACCTGTTTTGATAACAAAACAAGTGTAATTCGCAGCGTTGAAAGTGTTATTACCTCGTTTGAAGTATGATTATTACGAAAAGCAATACTTTAAATAATAATAACTAAATATTTAGAGACAAGGATAATTGAATAGAAATAAGGAGGGATTTAAAGATAAAGTAGAGACTTTATATGAAACAATTTTCAAAGAGAAGAAGTACACAATAGAGACTTGTAAGAGAGCTGTATTAAAAATTCATGAGAAGGGAAAGCCTCCTACTTTGGAGATGAATTTAGATGCAGATTAAGTGGAGTTAAATAATTTAAAGTTAAATTATGAAGGAACTCTTGGTTACTTCATGGAAGGGATTATAGATTTAGGATATATAACATTATTTGCAGCAGCATTTCCTATAGGACCTGCAATAGCTGTGGTAGCAAATGTAACTGAGATTAGGACTAAATTAATTTCATTTTTGGAAGTATACAAAAGACCAGAATGTTAGAGATGTGCTGGAATAGGAGATTGGTTAAATATTATGTAATGGATGGGTATGGGTTGTGTCTTTTCTAATTTTGCTTTATTATATGTTAAATATAAAAAATAAACTGTGAAAGTAATTTATGGATATAATGGTGATGACTCAGATACTATCATTTGGTTATTCTTTTTAACTATAGCTATCATACTTATTATTAAACTTGCATTCTAATGGTTGATTCCAGATAAACCTTAATGGGTTTTAAATGAACTTCAGAATATTCAAGAAAAATAACATGTAAATACAGGTTAAAGAGAAGCTTTGAAAACTAATAAGGTCAACATTTAAAAGGAAACTGATGCTTTGATTTAAAGTAGAAAACAACTTTTGGAGACTAAATAAAATTGTAATTAAAGAATTTAAGCTAAAATCAACACTAAAATTGAAAAAGAAGTTAAAATTGACAGATTCTAAAAATAAGAAGAACAAGAAAAATTGTTAGCAAAATAAGGAGTTATTCAAAAAGTAACAGAAATAGAAATTAAACCTGAAATGGTTAATCAAATTAAAATTGGTTTATTAAGGTAAAAGTTTATTGAAATTTAACATTTCCTTCTATAATAAAGGATTAGATAAATAGATTAAGCAAGAACAAAAAATATTTTACTTTGTTAAGAATGTTCTAAAGAAGAAGCTGTTTTTGATTGTGAAGATTGTGATGAGAGTTAATGTTAAGAATGTTTTAGAAAAGTACATAATAAAATGAAGAATATTACAACACATGAAGTTATGTTATTGAAATCTACTAAATATTATGATCATGAATTATTAAGTCGTTTGTAAGTTAAAAGAAAGGTAAAAATAGATTCTAAAAGTAATTTATAAGTTAAATTAAATCAATAATAAAATGATGGAGAGTTGAAATAAAAAAGATGGTAAAAATTATAAAATTTCTGTTTCCCTACTGTTATCTCAGCCCCGGCTTTCACTTCTTTACATACTATTTTTAATCTTTTTAAATAAGAGTATTTAGATAATCTAAATCTAGACAAAATTGAATTAAATAACTTTTATAGATTCAGAAGAGAATAAGAAAAATTCATTACGTATGAAAGTGAGAATATAAATAAAATTTTAGAAATGGAAGAATTAAATTTAGAAGAAAAGATATGGTTAAATAGAATTGCATTTTTATGTTTTAAGAAAAATTTTGAAAAATAATAATTTTTTGATTATGTTAGAAAATTGTAGAATAACAATTTAGAAAGTAAGTTAAAATTAGTGTTGGATCTAGCAGATGTGGATAATGATGGTAATATTACTAAACATGAAATCGAAGCCATTTTTGTAACATCAATTGTATAAGATTCTGAAGGATAATTCTCATTGTAATAGGCAATAGAAAATACATTCAATCAACCATTGAGTAAATAAAAAGCTATGGAAACTCTATTAAATTTAATAAATTCAGATATGCAATTTAAAGAGTTCTTTCAGCAATTAACTTAATGTGAATGATTTAATATATCATTCTTTATTTACTTATATAAAAATAAAGAAATAATATATTAAATTAAATCTAATTTTTATATCTATTTTTATAATCTATCCTAAATTTATTATTTATTATAAGAGAATTGTAATACTAAACTTAATATGTGCTCGTTTGAACACAAATTAAATCATCTTTTAAAAAATAATACTCAAACATGATTAAATCAATATTTTATTTAATAGGACACAAATTTAGGATTGATTGGCAAACTAAAAGAGTGAATTCTTAAATAATATGTTACTTTCAATGGAATGATGTTAATATTACTACTATTTATGATTTTAAAGATAGTGAGATGATTATTATATTATATAATTTGTTACATATATTCTCAGTTAAATGATGTTATGACTCTTAAATTATTCAAAGTGTATCTCATGAGTATTTTCTATGAGTAAAAAGACTCAAAATGTTGTGAATTAATACAATTTTCAATAATAAAGGGTCATTTAGTATAATTCTACAAATTCATTCAAAATAACATTGTTTTTTTTTGTTTGGAAAATGTATTATAATTTATGATACATTATAATTATTAACAATATCTGATGATTATTTAAATTAATACATTCATGACAACCAATCATTATTAATTGCTCATTTATGATGATGAATTCGTTCAGTATTATTCTTCTATATCCCTATAGGAATACCACTTATGATGAATCCTCACTTGAATATCTCATGACTGTTTGCATTTAATAATCAACTGTCAATTAATCATAAAAATAACCTTACTAGAAACATACCTTCACAAAAGATGAAGATAAAGAAATACTCATGTTTGTTTCACTATATGGACCAAATTTTAACAAAATTGTCAAATATTTCCCTGGCAAAACTATGAATATGATCAAGAATCGTTATTATAAGAAACTTCGTTATCTAAAATCTGAATTTGATGTAGATAATCAATCTAACTCAATAAATAACAATTCAAAAAATAAAAAAAATCATTGAATTTTTTACTTTTTATATTTATAATTAAATTATATATATATTTATATTTAATTTGTTGTAAATTTTAACTATGCCTAAAAACACAATTAAAAAGACTGTCAAAAAAATTAAAAAGCCCAAAACTAGAAACTCTAAGTAAACCAACAAATCAAAAATTGACGATGATGAATCCATTGATTCAGAATACCTGGATGAATTAGAAAATTAAAAACCTTAAAATGTGTCAGATAAAAGTGATAGCGAAATTGATGAAACTGAAGATAACAGAAGACTAAGATTGGCTAAATAAATTTTATAATAAACGAAATAAGAATTATAATCTAAAAATGATGACTTTTTTTAAGATCATCATGATATTCATATGAATGATGAAGACAAAAGATTGAATGTTGCCTTACTAGAGAAAGTAACTAATTAGCCTTATAATAGTTTGCTGAAAAACATACTATCTATTAATAATAAATCCAAAAATATGATAGAGAATTCAATAGAGAAATCTATAAAGGTCATTTACGAGCTATTACTTGTACTGAAGTAGATGAATTTGGTAAAAACATGTATTCTTGTTCAAAAGATTCAAGCATTATCAAATGTAATTATATTAATCTATAATATAAGGGGATTTGGAAACAAAAAAGAAAGAATTCATATAGAGAGAAGTAGGTAAACATGGAGATGGACATTATGATGAAGTTTTGACAATATCGTTGAATTTTGATGGCAAGATTTTAGCTAGTGCTGGTAAAGATCATTCGATTAAATTATGGGATACAACATCTAATAAATTGATAGAAACACTTAAACATCATAAAGCTCCAATTTATGGTGTTAAATTTGGATATAATTCTAATAATCTATGTAGTATATCTTGTGATAGAACTTTTATATAATGGGATGCTGCACAAAGAGCTTATATTGATACATTGTAATATTTACAAGTAATTTATAAGTTTTGGACATAGTACAGAAGCAAATGATATCGATTGCTTTAATGCTGATGATTTCTTGAGTTGTGGATATGATAGATAAATGATTCAATGGAAAACTAAATCAGGAGGATAACTTCTTTATAATGGACATGAATAGTCTATTGATTGTATTAGAGCTTTAACTCCTGAAACCTTTGCAACTGGTTCAATTGATTCAAATATCAATTTATGGAATGTTAAAAAAAGAAGACCTTTATTCGAACTTTATAAACCTCATGGGGATAAATGGATTACTTCATTGGTAATTCTTAATCTTTAAATTAGGGAACTATTTATAATAGTGATCTTTTGATTTCAGGATCTATTGATGATAATCTTAACATTTACAAAGTTACAAATAAGGAAATCACAAAAGTTAGATCACTTTAAAGTGTAAGATTATTAATAATATTCTTAATTTAGTTTGGAATCATCAATCATATTAATTTATTTGATAATAAAATCTTAACTGTTGAAAGTCAAGAGCATCGTTTAGGAAGATGGATTACTTCAACCAAAAGCAAAAATTTAATTGTGTTGTATTTATGATTTATTTTCTTATATATTTAAGTTTTTAAAGGTAATTTACATATTATAATTAATACAATACATTTAAAAATCTTGAATTTTATCAAATTTATCATTTAATGTATTATTTAAATCATTATTTATGTTTGTATTTCTATTAGGTTGTTTTTGTTTTCATTCTTTTTAACAATTAATATACAAAATCTCTCCATTTTAAAAATAGATCAAACATTTTAATTTATTTTTTTATTTTTAAATTAGAACTTTCCTAGATGACTGAAAATACTGCCAATCAATATAGACGTCGAACTTATGTTAAAGTTTCTCCTATATAAAAAACATAGTTAATAAATCTTGTATTTTAAGAGTAATGGAAGATTAAAAAAGTAATTAATTTGCTTTTTACTAGTTAGGCAGCTAAGTTTCTTTACGTTAAGTATGCGTCTGCTAAAAGTATCGTCTTGAAATACAGAAAATATTCAATACAAAAAAAAATGCCAACTCTTCCAGAAATTAAACGATGCCATTACAAACCATTAAGAAATGGAAAACATAATTATAAAATCATATGTCTGAGAGGAGGTATTTTTTAAAACACAATTAAAAATTTCTCTCTGAAATAATGATTATATATTTATCTAAATAATTTTCACCTATTTAATTGAGCTAACATCCCTATTCAAGCAATTAATTATATTTCCACTTATAATTCATTATGATTAAAATAAAATATGATTATCCTTCTTAAAATACACCTCCTTTATGAAGCCCTCTTTGATATTATTATAACTATTGGTTTTTCTAACAAAAACCAATTTCTTGATGAACCCTTAATTTATAAGTGATTTAATTATATACTTGAAAGAAAATATAATCATTTTGATCAATTAAATTATCTTACCTTTTAAATAGTTTAAAACATAGAAATTTGGTTACTCTCAATCTGAAATTTTGAAGTTTCTTTTCTTCAAAATGGGATGTTTCTCCACATAAAGGCAAATTCAATAATTTAATATAATATCCGAAAAGTTCGAACCCAAAAGTATTCATTTTTTTTTTCATCAGAATATTACTTTTCTGTAATTAATTGTTAAATACTTTCCAAAATACACAAATATAGGTAATTTTAATCATAGAGGCACTTTTTGTTTTTAAATGAAAGAATTTTGGAAAAGGTTACTTTTTTATTAAAAAAAAATCAACATTATAGTTTTAATTTGGGAATATATATATACTATATTTATTTCTTTTCTAAATAGGAGTATTCATATTAAAGACTACATTTATATATGTCGGGTATATGTTTGAATTATTTTATAATTATTTCAAGCTTAACGAAATTAGTTTAAGAAACAATTAACAGTTTTTAAGAATAGAATACATTGGTAAGCTACTTTTTAGGTAATTTGCTCTATTTTGAGTTTCCTTTATAAAAATTTTAAAGATTGGTGTATTAGGATTTAATATAATAAAATGGAATAATGGAATATATAAAAAGAACAAGTTTATCATAATAAAATTGATATTTTGTATATATATAGCCAGAGATGATCTTTTTTGATTTTAATAATTAAAATTGTAATAAAGCAAAATGAAAACCCAATCATCTGATAGTAAAGTTCGTTCATATTGCAAAGTCCCAATGATAAAATAGGAATAGCTCTTAAATCTCGTTTTTAAAGAAGAATGGAAAGTCAATTAGGTTTATATTTTAAATTATTTGTATAGGCTGCATAGTTGCTCAATATAAAATATGCAACAGCTAAAAATATTGTGCTAAGGTTTAAGAAAGCCAACATTTTAAGTTAGCACAAAAAATTATTTGAAACAAAAAGATGCCAATACAGATAGATTGGAGAATCTAAAACCTAAATAAATACAAAAGATGTATTATCATCTGATGACCTAGATTAATAAATGAAGAAGCTTTGATTTTATTTTATTTTATAAAAAGTTGATTATTATCTTAAAGAAAAAAAGCAACTTTTAAACATACACTATACTTAAAAGAGTAGGATAATCAAGTGAGAATATCTTGAGAAAGATAAAATCAGAGTGACTATTAAAAAAATAAATTAAACAATATTACTGATTAATTTTTAATTATTTATTCTTGATATACATAAGATAGGATTTCTAGTGCGTTGTTATCTCTCAAAAAAAGGAGGTCGAAGAATTAGTTCATTATTTTGGTATTCCTCATAAGATATCAAAAATTTAATGAGGCATCTTTCATAAATTCTCAATCATAAATAAGATAAAATTGGAACATATTTCCTTATATTTAGGAACTTCCATAATATTTTTTAAAGTCCTCTAGGTTTTTCTGTTTGAATTTTTATTCACTATATAATACAAAACATATTTAAAAAATTCATAATTTTTATATAATATTCATGCAATAAATATATGCAAATAAAATAAATTAAAATGATATTATTAATTTATTATCTCATTTAATATTAACTATAATTTTTCAATTAGATTTGAATTTGATGTTACTTATTTTTAGAAATTTCATTTTTTTATTCTTAATAATGAAGTTTTGATAAATTGAGATTAAACCATTTTATTTAGATTCTCTTATTTAACCATTTGATTTTAAAGATAGATAACAACAATAGTAACTATTTTGATATTTTTAAAGTTATTCAGTTTCCTCATTGCGAATAGTTTAAAGTAATTTAATTATGAATCAGAAATATTATCTATTTCTAATTTTAATAATTAAATTAAATAACTTTAAAAAATCTGTCTGAATCTTTTAGAAATTTGTCAAATTTTATTTATATTAATTAATATTTGGACCCAAAAGGATTCTACTATAAAAACAACAACTTGCTACAACGAAACCTTACAACCTATCAAAAATAAACCAGGATGTTATAAAATACAAATTAATTCATAATAAATCTGATTCTTAATAAATTCTTGATTATA